TATATATACTATAACTAGACTAGGAGTACCTTCTAGATAATGGTGCCATTCTTGAAACGAATCCACAATTGCAAGAAGCTCTTTGTCGTGAATCTCATAGTTGATCTTAGCTGCTAAAAAATTTTTGGAATGAAAAGCTATTAAGTGAAGTTTATCATCTGTTCCCATTTGTGATAATACAATACCTAAAGCAAAGTTTGATGCATATGTTTCCATAAAAAATGGCTTAAAAAAGTTGATGCAATACAAGATTGGTGCAAAAACAAGGTTATCTTCAAAGCTTCAAATGCTACTTTTGCTTTTTGATTCTATTGAAGTTTGTCTTTACAAGTCAAATGTATAAGTGGAGCTACAACTTGAAAGAAGTCTTTGATGAAGATCCGATAGTAGTTGGCAAATCCCAAAAAGCATTGAACAACTCTTACCATTTTTGGGATCTTCTAATCCATAATAGTTTGAACTTTCTTAGGATCCATCATAAGTCCATCATTTAAAATGATGTAACCTAAGAAGTCGACTTGAGTAATGTGAAATATACACTTTTCTATCTTAGCATAGAATCTTGCATCTTATAGTTTTTATAATACACGACAAACATGAAGTTCATATTCTTCTGTATTCTTAGAACAGATTAAGATGTCGTCTAAGTAACAAACAACAAAATCATCTAAAAACTCCCAAAAGACATCATTCATTAGATGTTGGAATGTTGTTGGTGCATTTGTAAGTCCAAAACGCATGACGTTGTATTTGAAATGTCCATACCTTATTTGAAACACATTCTTCCATTCATTTCTTTTTTTGATGCATACCAGATTGTATGCACCTCGTAAATCTATTTTTATATAGATCTTAGCTTGATTCAACTAATCAAGAAGTCCAAATATCAAAGGTAGCTGGTACCTATTTTTGATAGTGATTTTGTTGAGTCCTTGATAATCAACATACATCTGCAATGATCTATCTTTTTTCTTCACAAATAAAATTGGAGCTCCTTCTAGAGATTTGAAATGGCGTATGAAGTTCTTGGCCAAATTCTCTTCAATATACTCCTTCAGTTTAGCTAACTTATTTTGAGATAAATTGTAGATTGGTCCAAATGGCAGTTGTGCTCCTTCTTGAAGGTCAATTGAGCAGTCATACGAATGATGTTCTGAAAGAATATCTGCATTCTTTTTTTCAAATATATCTTTAAAATCTTCATATTGGCTTGGAATGCTACTTGAAGTCTTTCCACCAATAGAAACAGGTGTGACATAAATGACACAAGGTGATCTTTCTTTTGCAGCATGCAAGAAAGTACTTGTACCTACAAATATAGGTTTAATTATACTAGACTTATGACTTTTTACTTGATTAATTACACTCTTAGTTATACTTTCAGAAAAATTAAGACTACAAGAAGTCCAATCTATTTTAGGATTATATTTTTCTAGCCATGATAAACCTAAAATAATTAGATTAGAAGAAGATCTAATGATATTAAATATTATAAAGCTACTATAATCATTAGTTGCTATTTCTATAGGAAGAATTTCATGAGTAATATCTCTTAAAGACAACAGACGACCATCTATGACTTTTACATGAACATGTTTAGTTTTCTTTACTAAAAATATGCTATGTCTTTTAGCAAATTTTTCATCTAAGAAACATGCTGAGGCTCCTAAATCTAGCAAAGGAGATACTTTGAGATGTTTAGGTTCTAGAATAACATTTATTGTAAAACATGGAGAAGATTCTAAGGAGAGGATAAGACCTTCACTAGGCGTTGTACAAGGTTCCAACCGCACGGTCCCTATTGTAGTTGGACAAATTCTTTTTCCGACATACTATCCTCTTTGATCGCCGTACTCCTCATTTTATGGTTGCATCGCTTCGTTGGACAATGTTGAGTGTTGAGCTTAGGTTCTCCATAATATAAGTACAATCCTTCTTGACGATGATGATTCTTTTCTTGCTCAATAAAAGGTTTGAAACATATTGCATGAATTTGCATATCCTCTACTTCCGAATGTATGTGTTGAAGAGGTGTTGGTGTTGCCATTGAATTATAGTAACGTTGAAGTCCACTTATATGATTCTCATATCGAAATTCAAAAAGGCGATTGTCACACTTCACAGCAAAGTCAATTGCTTGACTCAATGTTTGAGGATCAAGTAAGTTGAGCATTAATTTTTTTATCTCATATTGTAATATGTAGAGAAATTGGCTAATACGTGCAACATCATTCCACTTGATATTAGTTGCAAGTTGTCAAAATTGTAAAGCATACAACGTCACTGATCGATTGCCTTATTGTAAAATATGGATCTTATTGGTTGCAATACGAATTGCATCATGTTCTCCATACATGGATCGAAACTCTATTAGAAAAGCCTCTAGATTATCTAATATTGGATCTTATCGTTCAAGAAAAGATGAAAACCATGATAATACTGAACCTAAAAGAAGCGTACTAATGAATATAACTTACAATCTTGGATTTGGATAGCTTTGGAATTGAAGTTCAATCACAAGTTGTACTTGATTGATAAATCCTCGAAACTTGGATCTTGTGCCATCAAACTTCTCGGATAGGGTAATTCTTGGTTTTTTAACACTAGAAGGATGTTCCACCATAAGAGAAGGGACATGATTTGGCGCAAATATTGAAGCAGCTCCAATCATTTCTATATCTTCACTTCTTGCTAATCTTGTTGCTCCTTGTAGTGGTAAATTGAATTGATGCATCGTAAGAATTAACTCCCTTAATTGCTCTTGCATTTGTACCATTGCACTCTTCATTTCAGCAAGTTCTCCCATGATAACACTTAGAAAAGAAAATATGTCTAATATCGCTCAAGACAAACAAAAGAGAGGAATTTAGAATAAAGAAAATACTAAAAATAATATCAATTTAAAAGAGGGTAATCTGCAACTTCTAATATGCTTAAGTCTTATCAAGAGAAAGATGTAATCTATCTTAATCAAGATTAGACAAAGCTCTAATATTGTAAGTGTACTCTTATTTATCTGTCAAGAATAAGAACTTGATAAAAATAAATAAACAAGTGAGACTTTTCTCAAAAGAAGATGACAAAATAGAAATAAATTAATATATATATTAAGAAAGAAATTGGAATGGCTATTGCCAAAAGACAAGAAAACTAAAGACTCTTGAAACTAGACTGAAAGTAAAAAAAGAGTTGACAAGAGTGAAGAAGGCTTCACTCTTCTCTCTATATATACTATCTAACTAAAAGCTACGTGGTGACATTCTATAGGACCTCCAATATGTGTTGACTTTGTAGGACACATGCCTTGACTTACAACGCAAGTTTTTCTATGTGTGGGCTACATAGTTAGCTTGGTCTTCAAGCTAACAACATGTGTGGTACATGGCCAACTTGTTGACCACGTTTCTAATCCAATAAGTCAATTAAAGACACTTGTAAAGTCAAAGCAATGTCTATCAAGCTTGTAGGATGCTTCCTTACCAAATACTATAGAATTAACTTACCTTTATCACTTTTACTTACTTCTACTTATTTATACATGTAATTATTGGCTTACATGTGTATGTCCATGCCATCCAGTGGCATACTATCTAGGATTACAAGTTGCTATGAAGGTACACCTAGTCTTTCATGTTTCTTTGTTGGAGCCTTATCGAGAGTCATCTCTTCCTGGAAGAGTGCAATGTCTGCCACCTAGTATTAAAATTGAGAACCACAAGGAATACAAGGTGGAAAGGTACTAGATTCACAGCATAAGTGGAAAAAATTGGAATACTTAGTGCATTGGAACGGCTATGATATCAATGAGCGCACATGTGAATGAGCATAAAATCTTATAATGCATCGCAAAAAGTATAGGAGTTTCATCGATACTATCCCCAGAAACCTAATCCTTTTCGATGAAAGTTTTTCAGTAAAGTTCCTTATCCTTCAAGCCTCTTAATCCTGGGCTTTACAAAGAAGGAGGAGAAAGAACCTCTAAAAGACATAGTTAGAGACTATAAATCTGTAACTTGAGACCATTCTTCCATGTTTAGTACTCGTATTTTTCAATGTGATATGGATAGCCAAGAGATAGATACCATACCAGTTATGTCTTCTCAACCGAGTATCTCACAAAGACGACTCCGAGATGAAGAATTGCATGTACCACGAAGACGACGGAGGATACCTAGTAACAGGTCGCTAAAGATTGTGTTTGAGGTAGAACCTGCCTACGGTGATCTTCCCGAAGGAGTGTTTGCAGGGCATTTTCACAATGAAGATACAAAAGTTCATGCCTGGTCAGAAATCATATCTAATAATTCGTATTTTATATAAATATCAGTTTTTATACTTTAAAAATTATAATTTAATAAAATTAGGAAATGTTGAAATTTTAATTAGGCCTTACTTGAATTAAATGTATCAAAATCAATTAAAGCTTTTATATATATATATATATATATATATATATATGTGTGTGTGTGTGTGTGTTTGGAAGTTTATTTTCAAAGAAAAATCAGAAATTTCAGTGTGTGTTATGCAATTGATATTAATTTTTATTTCTCACACAATACATATAAGTCAAATTAATAAGAATCTATGAGACTTTAACAATTGGATGATACACATAATTAATGAAAATGATGTATAATTTTATTTTTCTTCATGAAACGTAAAAAAACTAATTCAATGCACACTTTCCTCCGACGAAAAGAAAAACAGAAAAAAGAAGAAAACTAGTCTGATAAGAAGGCTCATCAGACGATGATAAGTTCCAAATTTACCAGATACCGTGATGCGCAATATAGCGGGGCATATGCAAGCGACAGTGGCGAAGCGCATGATTCACGCCGGTACTTAACCCTGTATGGAAGCCCAATGGTCAGGTCCAGGAATTCGCCTACGTGTACTGCCACGACAGCAGAAACAGGATGGATTCAATCCTAGGTGGCAGATTGCGTAAGCCTGTGTGCGTTGGGGGGGGGGGGGGATCGACTTTCTCCTTCCGCGCGGTGCTGGAGGGTCCGAGCCCGTGTCTGTGCGTGCGTCCAGGGTCACTATGCGCACCAGAGCACTATCCGACCTCACCTATGCTTCTTTTAGGGTTTGCCTTCCCCGTCTTGCTCTTTGTAGTTTGTTTCCTTAGAACGTGGCGTGGAGCGTAGGGTTTTTGATAGCAAGGGGGTTCGCGGACGGGCGGGCGGACGGACGGACGGGCTGGGGCTGCACCAGCTTGGACTAGTGTGGTTCGTTTTATCTGGAGGTGCGCCGGAGGCGCGTGTGGTGAGAACAACTAGCCAATATGAGGATTATGATTAAGGGTGGTGTTTGGAAAAACACCGAAGATGAGATTCTGAAGGCGGCGGTCATGAAATATGGCAAGAATCAGTGGGCGCGTATCTCGTCGCTCTTGGTTAGGAAGTCGGCCAAACAGTGCAAGGCGCGGTGGTACGAATGGTTGGATCCGTCCATTAAGAAGGTACGCTTCTAAATTGATCGCTGCATTACGCAAGTAAGTGGAGAATGTTACGATGCTTTGTTCTTTTGATCGTTCGGTATCTTGAGGAAAATTGGTTTTTGTTCTAGGGTTTGTTTGTTTTCTTTTTTGTTTGTTTCGTTGTTTTCTCGTTGGTTATCGAAGAGTGCATTATAATTGTTGTACTTTCGTAGAGGTTTTGGTATGTTTTACTGGACGAGCTTTTAGCAATGCAGCCCCAGGTTTGTAATTAATGCTTCTCGGGTTAGTATTGCACGCTAGTTAGGGTGATTCTTATTTTTCAGGCCGGATGTGTCTGTTGAAAATCTGGACCTTGGTTTGTGCAGACGGAATGGACTAGAGAAGAGGACGAGAAACTCCTTCATCTTGCAAAACTTATGCCCACTCAGTGGCGAACTATTTCTCCCATAGTTGGTCGTACTCCAGCTCAATGTTTAGAACGTTATGAAAAGCTTTTGGATGCTGCATGTGCAAGAGATGAGAGCTACGAACCTGCAGATGATCCCCGGAAGCTACGCCCTGGAGAAATTGATCCGAATCCTGAGTCGAAGCCTGCAAGGCCTGACCCGGTGGATATGGATGAAGATGAAAAGGAAATGTTGTCAGAGGCAAGGGCTCGTCTGGCTAATACTCGAGGAAAGAAGGCTAAGCGGAAAGCAAGGGAGAAGCAGTTAGAGGAGGCCCGGAGACTTGCATCGTTGCAGAAACGTCGCGAGCTTAAGGCTGCAGGCATTGATGGGCGGCAGCGGCGTAGAAAGCAGAAGGGAATTGACTACAATGCTGAGATCCCGTTTGAGAAGAAGCCACCGTCTGGATTTTTCGAAGTTGGACAAGAAGAAAGGCCAGTTGAGCAACTACAATTTCCGACAACCATTGAAGAATTAGAAGGAAAGCGGCGTGCAGATATTGAAGCACAGCTACGGAAGCAAGATATAGCCGCGAACAAAATAGCACAACGTAAAAACGCTCCTGCAGCTGTTATGCAGGTAATTTAGAAATTTATATTAATTTTTCTTTTCGTAAGGCCATAGGTTATCCGAGCTACAGGATGGACTTCAATCGATGTGTTTTGCCAAGTATTGCAAAGTTTGAATCTTTACAATTATGCTGCTTCTACTGGTTGTCTAACGGTAGGGTTTATCTGGAACTTGCGTCACAGGTTAACAAATTAAATGATCCTGAAGCTGTACGGAAGCGGTCAAAGCTTATGCTTCCCGCTCCTCAGATTTCAGATGCTGAGCTGGAAGAGATCGCTAAGATGGGCTATGCTAAGGATTTCATCGAAGCTGGATCAGAGGAAGGCAGTGGGGTTACTCGTGCGCTGCTTTCCAACTATTCTCGAACTCCAATGGGCATGACACCTCTTCAAACCTCTCAACGAACTCCTGGTGGAAAAGGGGACGCAATAATGATGGAGGCCGAGGTAAAATCAATAATACTGTAACTTAGTGGGATGCCAGTAATCCTGTGCACACAAGGTGACGTGGGACCTAGTTTCATTTCTAACCGATAAGCAATGGCACTTTTAAACACAAACCTTTTCCTCCCCCTCGTGTATCCGTCGCAATAGATCGCGAGATCGTATAGCAGCATAGACTTCTAACTAGTTGGCAAATTGTTTCTGATTCGAACCACTTTTGTACATGCCTTTGTTGCTATAGGTAGAGCGGTTATTGTCATAGTCGTTCGTGCAGTTTTGATAACACTGTTCTAAAGCTACGTGGGATAGTGATATGTATTCTGTTATAACAGCATTCATTGATTGTTCTATGTCAAGTGACTTTATTGTATGTATTCATTTTTGATCCTGCAGAATCTTGCTCGGATGCGGGCAACTCAGACTCCACTATTTGGAGGGGAGAATCCAGAGTTGCATCCGAGTGATTTCTCTGGAGTTACTCCTAAGAAAAAAGATATTCAAACACCCAACCCAATTGCCACACCTCTGCGCACACCCTCTGGTGCAGCCACTCCTCTTCGAACACCTAATTCCGTGTATTCAATGTTTCCTAAAGGAACTCCAATTCGTGATGATCTTCACATCAACGAGGGCTCAGAAATGTTGGGTTCTGAGAGTGCGAAGGCTGAGAAATTGAGACAGGTAAAAGTGCTCTTCTAATTTTGCATTGACCATCATTTCGTGTCTTGTATCTTGTTCCTACATGTCTTTTTGATTTCCCTTTAGATAGACTTGCAAGGGGTGGTTAATCTCCTTGGATGCAATTATTTCATACTTAGTAAAGTATACAATCTAAAGCATAGTTTCTTGGCAATAACTTCTGCAGGAGGAATTGAGGAGAAATCTTCGTGCAGCACTGGGACACCTTCCAGCACCAACAAATGAGTACGAGATTCTAGTTCCACAACTTCCTATTGAAGAAAAGGATGACAATGACGACATTGAGATGGACATGGCAGATGCGATAGCTCTACAACAAAAAGAGAAAGAGGCAGCTGAACTGGCTCTATGGAAGAAACAGACTAAGGTTGTGCAAAGAGGGTTGCCTAGACCACCTCTACCCGCAATACAAGCTCTTAAAACCACGCTGACGTTAGAAGAAGACGGGAAGAATCTTTATGTCTCTTTAATAGAACATGCTGATCTTTCTATCAGACAGGAGATGGTTGCTTTATTGGAAAATGATGCAGCGAAGTATCCTCCGACAGAGGAGGAGACAGTAAAAGACAAAAAGAAGGGAGCTTCCAGAACTGTTGTCGCTGGGAGGCCACCAATGGATGCACCACCCTTGGATGATTTTGAGGAGGAAGATATAAATGAAGTAAGTGAAATTCGCCATGTAATTTTATGAGAATCCTTCTGGAAAGGATCTGGTTTTGCTCCTAATAGATCGTAACTTTAACATTAAGTATGACATGGTATAATTTGGGATTTGAGATGCTCCAAAATATGATCTTTAGATCACATCTGTAACAGTATAACTCGAAAAGTTCTTTAGGTCTTTATTAAATGAATTTTTTATCTCTGAAATGTCCCTAAACTTACATGTTTCATTAATTGTACATAAAATTTACAATAGGAATAGCCACAAAGAGTTTCTGAAGTTTTAATTATTTTAATTAGTTCTATTTTATGAGGTGGTCTTAAATCTTTTTCCTTATTTTTATTTTGTTTTTCTAAATTATGAGACTAGTGTAGCTTTCTGAATTTCGCTGAAGTTTGTGAAGCTTTTTGTGTGGTCATATTTGGTTTCCCATCCTTTTAGGTCAATCAAAGTTTTCATGATCCGAATATGAATATCGTCGTCAGTAACACTCCCGAAATTGTCTTTCATATTCGGACCATTTACTATCATACGCTGAAAATTAGATATGAGCATGTTTACTCTCATCCTACCCATGATTTGATACGTAATGGTCCCCAGATGTTTTGGATCGTGCTGGTTTTATGATTTTAATTCAAAAGTGGTGAGCTAATGGAATGATATTTGATTTCAGGCTTCCCGTTTGATTGAGGACGAGGTCGATTACCTCAAGGGTGCAATGGGTCACGAAGACGCTACTCTAGAAGATTATGCAGAGGCTCGGGATGGATGTGTTGATGATTTAGTATACTTTCCTACACGGGAGAACTTTGGCTTGATAAGTGTGGCAAGCACGAATGATCGGCTTAGTGCGCTACAGTATGAGTTTGAAAATGTCAAGAAGCACATGGAAGCTGAAACAAGAAAAGCTGTTCGATTAGAGCACAAGCTTAAAGTTTTGACTCATGGTTATCAGGTAAAGAAGGATGCTTATTTCTGTTTGAATCTTGCATGAAGTATTTGCTCTTCTGTCTTTTTAGAAAGGTCATGAAATGACAGTGTAAACCGGACAGGTTCGGGCAGAGACATTGTGGAGACAAATCGAGGCGCTACATAAGGAGACTGTCACACTTGGGACTGAGTATGAATGTTTCCGGGCTTTACATTCTCAAGAGCAATTAGCAGCACCCCGCCGCATTGAGAACCTTCAAGATGCTCTCAAAGAGCAGAATGATAAAGAGCGTACGCTTCAACTGCGTTATGAGAATTTACTTGTAGAGCAGGAGAACATCAAAGGATTCATGCGCAGCCATGATGAGCGCGCGTCCTAGAGACGCATACACACCGCGGATCCAGCAAGACGGAGGCGATGACTGGATGCGGGTGAAAGCTAGGAATTTGTACGTTTGGTTTTTCGGTCTTCTTTCAGCTCATTAGAGTCCGAGTGGTGGGGTCGCTTGGAATAATCATCGGCCCCCTTGTGAGTGGCATTGAGCTGGCACTGGGGCGTTTGGTATATGATGCTAGAGTGCGGTTTTTCTAAACCACCTCTGAGTTGTGACATTATGTGTGAAGTCCGACATGGAGGGGAAATCGATGCGTTTGAGGGTTTTTGTGGAGTAGGCGTCTGAGGCTTGCTCGGGGAAGTTTACGATGACTACGAAGGGTGGCATTACTTGATTTTATCTTGTTTTGCACTCGCCAGGGCGTGCTGCGGAGGTGCTGTCTTTGTAATGCTCGAATTACTCCGGCAGTGGCATGGAAAGCAGCATCTTGAGCTAAGGAGGCGTTGGATTGCTGCTCTACTAATTTGTCCTCTTCTGAGCAGTCTTCGACGCATATACACTTCAAACAAGATGTGAAGACAACCTGAACATGAATGAAGTAACGCCATAGCCCATGACTCGAGACATTAGGGTCTGCATCTTTCTCTGGCAATTTTCCGAGAACCAGTAATGTGGAGGTAGGCATCAATGCCAGAGGTTCTTTGTGACCTTTTTCTTGTAACTAGTAGCCACGCCACTAATTATCTGTCCGACGAAATGTCGTCTGTTGGTCTGTATGGAAGGCATCGGCTTTCTCTTGATGAGACCTACCAACCCAACGACAGATATTGTTAAATCAAAATTTTATTCAGGAGTAAAAGCACAATTTTAACACAGGTTGGTCTGCTCTGGTATTTTGTTCTTTAGATAGTAAGTTCTGCATGAGTGCCCACCGTACTTTCGGGGACCTTCCGATGCGTAGCCTTCTAGCTAGGATGTTTCTCGATTCTGCAATTCATCCGAATTGCAGAAAAAGTTCCGCAACGGGAAGCAGAAGTTGGTATTGTAATTTCAATGTACAGTTGCATCCGAAGGCTTTTTCGATAGTTCTATCAACCTGATGAACCTATTTTTATAACATAGACTTGCCAGTTCACCTCAAAAGACTACGCAGAATTTTTTTGGGGAGGCGGGGTTGCAAAGTTCCTTAAATTTCAGTTGTGTATCGTAACCTTAAAACCAATCAGTTCTCCTTACTCTTTTAGTTCTAGTTCAAAACTACTGTATCTGATGTAGTTTGTGTTTTTGCTATTGATGTGATGTGGGCTTGCTTGTCACATTCTGGTGCTTTCTCACTGTGAATGTTTCATATGGCATCAAAAAAACTCGGTTTGAAATCCAAATGACCGAATCGGCACATGAAAAGTTGTCGGGAGTACTCAGTGAGGTATTTGTATTACATACAATGGTTAGCACACAACGGTGTCACATCAAGTGATTTGCGGATGCCAAAGCCAGAATTTGTATCCAAACAATCCTGATGTCAAGAGGGATAAATAGTGCCACATTTTTGGTTCTAAAGTCAGAGAAACCGACAGACAGAATTTCAAAGAAGACAAATTAGTCGAAGATCTTGTAGATTGAGTGAATTCTGTGGAATCCAGAATTCATGATTTTGAAAAGAATTGTACACATCTACTAGTCACTTAAATTCAAAAAAATAAATCAGTTCAAGCAAGGTTACAGCGTTAAATGGAATAAACTGATTTATTATAATTAGATGTAGACGGATACACATATACAAACACACACATACATATGTAGGTACAAAAAACAAAGTATATATATATATATATATATATATATATAATGTATTTATCTCTTTGTGTTGTATCCAAGCTGTCTTTTATATATGTATATATCTTCACATATACATTTGGCAATAGGTCTAATTCATCTTGCTAAAAAAAATCATAAATCTTTGTTAGATATTTATACAATCATATGATTCTAAGTGTATGTGGTTGAATTTGATGCTTTTTACCATACAACAAGATTGATAATGCAACAAAAAATTACAGTTAATTTGCATTTCTTTGATTTTACTTCAAAGCATATATAAATACACATATCTATAGTTGTATATCTACTTAATACTCATTTGCATGCTCATGCTAAAATCAATTTCACAAATCTATGAATTAAAATAAATTAACTCCATTTTTGTTGTTTACAATATTTCTAGTTGTTTGCTTGGGTGAAGTTGCAGCAATTGATGATTCAAAGTATTAAATTAAATTTCATAGAATTAGTACATTAAATATGTTTTAAGTATAGAATATGAGACTGTGTATAGGTAAAACTGTGGAAATAGATCTGCATCCATCCTGCACACCACTCTTACAGAATTACACTCAGTGTCCATGGTGAAGTGATGGAGGTTGGACAGTGGCAGCAGATCAGTGGCATGCAGGCCCCATGTGCAAGTAACCCTCCGCACGGTTGAAGCTGCAGGCTGTGAATCTTGTCCCTCAAATTGATCCAATTTCTGGACTCAGTGCAATGTTTTGACAAAGTCAGATGTGCAAAGAAGTTCACAGGCAATTGAAGCTTACTAAAGGCTGGTGGTTGCATTGAGAATGCTCATCACAATCTGCCAACATTTCAGGTTATGTTGACAGGTCGTGATGGTCACCCTAAACTTCCCATGCTGATGATGGAAGGTCAGAGGTCTACATTATGTCTCCATGTAGACTAACATCATGTGGATGTGATGAGCTGCAAAATCGATTGTAGCAGAGATTCCCAGGCACTCTTCTACTTCTAAACATGAAAACTCTGTGCACCTCATTCTGGGCACTGTCACACAAATTGTGACCTGCTCTGATGTTAACATCTCATGTAAGTGCTAATGGGTCACAAACTACTGAAGCTCTCATAAACAGTAATCTTGATGACAGTGTATTAGTATTTGCATCTCATGAAGAAGATGTTCCCTTTCACCCTGGTTGTTGCATGGAGTTGGCTGACTATTCAATTGGCAAGAGGATGGAGAATGCTTCCTAAGCAGCAAGGAATTCTATTGACAAAATAACAGGTAAGAATGGTGCAGCAGCAAAAACCTTCTCTCTTGGATAAGATTCTCACCCATATAGACTACTTTATGCTACAAATTAGACTTCAAAGGTATGTAATGGCCACAACAACACTTTTCTACATAGAAATACATCTCTAGCTTTTGAAATCCATTTTGGGCAATTATTGTCCACATGCTGAACTGAGCTGGGCATCTCAGCCTCTGCCAAAAGGTTTGGTTGTTCATGTGAGAGTACATTGAATAAAAATACATCCTGCTAAGTTGATATTTATTAGAGTCACCTAATCAAGAAGACTTGCACAATTTTTCAACATGTCATTGTTAATTTGTAATTGAGCTTTGTTGTGTGAATTACAAATTAACAATGACATGTTGAAATTTTTTATCAAAGAATTATGCCATACATATTTGTTGTATGAATTAATTTGTAATTGATCTTTGCTGTGTTGTTTTTGCAGGCATGACCACAATTTTCTTTTGAGATTAGTAACATGTGATGCGAAGGCCATTAGAGGCATTCTTAACTTCCAACCAATCACATTCATGAGTTTCTAATTCTTTGAGTAACTTGATGATTATTTTTCAGTATATATATTTAAATATTTTAAATATTACTTTCCATGCCTGAATTCGCAGCGTTAGGATTCAATACAACAAATTTTACAAAAGATAGCAGCGTGCGTCGATTAACGGCCGCCAATTTGCAAGATTCCTGTGATCACTTTGTGAACCATTGATGCATTGGGGAACAAGAAGTGGGAACAACGGAAGGGAACATGGGAACTGGGGCATGGCTCCATATTGTAATCGCTTGGCTCGCTGCCTATATTTTGATATTTTTAATTTGAGAATACAGCTTATTTTGGGTAATCCATCATCATATAATAATTCAAAAAAGACCATTAAAAAATAAAAATAAAAACACATAACCAAACTAATTGCGTCAAATATGTAAATTGATCTGGTCGAGACATTTTTCTTTTTCTTTTTCTTTGATGATTCAAGTACTTTTATTGAAACACAAGAGAAGGAAACTTGTTTTTCTTGTTTGAGCCCTTGCTATTAAAGCTCTTTAATTAGTTGATTAATTATTATTTATTTATATATTTATTTATTTATTTATTTTTATGTTGATGGGGCATAGTCTAACTTTGGTTATGTACCACATTAGTATGATGGAGATTGTGGATACAAATCCCACTGCTCCAAAATATATTATAAGGTTTTACTTTATTTATTTATTAAAGATATTTTCATTTATTTTTAACTATATGAAACTATCTAATTTCTTTCAAATATTATTTTTAATTTATATGTTTAGATTTTTTCCACAAAAAAAAATGTTTAGGTTTTCTGAAAAAATGTTTTAAAAAATAATAAATAAATAAATAAAAATGTCTTTTTTAAGAAGTATATTTCTTACATGAATGATTATGTTGGTTATAATTTTTGAATGATTTATTAAAATATTCTGTTGAATCAGAATCTTTTTCAGTTGGGGTGCAGAAAGCTTTTTGAACGACCTGTTAAAATAGATTGAGCTAATGAAAAAGCACATATTTTATTCTAGCTAGCTTTCCTTCTTCTCCCCATATTGCTTCACGAATTATTTCATATAGAAGTATTTTTTTCAAATTAATCAAATAATTAATTAATTAAAGAGCGTTAACATGGAGAGGAAAAAAATTCATATACACATATATTTAACAATCAGCCCCCCCGTTGGTTCCCCTGCGCTCCCTCCCTCCGTTCCCTCACTTTAGATCATCCGCCACGATTGAATATGAGCACAACTGCGATCCGATGGCCCACGACGGTTGGACGCAGACAGACGCAGACAGACGCAGACGGCCGCAACGCACGTGCGATGGATTCAGGAGCGTGGACGACGAGGTTGGAGGCGACTACAGAAGACCAGCGATGGTGAAGTGATGGATGGATCCCCTTGTTATTGTTGTTGTTGTGGGTTCTGATTCCTGTTTCCCGTTCCAATGCTTCTGCTACTGTTTATGCGATTTCGATGCGAGGGAGGGATGGCGCATTAAAGTGGGTCTCCCAAAGCACCACCCCTGCTGTGTGGTCGGTGTCGAGAATCACCGTGGTCGGAAAATGGGAATGCGAATGGTTGCTCCCCACGTTGGTTGTTTGTGGCCTTCCAGAAACTGTAGGTCTTCCTAGCTTGGTTGCAACTGCTCACTGTTGGATTCTGTAGGGACCCCATTTACAGTGAAACCATTTTCCACGCACAACATGAAAGGGTTTTCAGGGCATAATCAGCAGCAGCCCGGCAGATGTGCGTATGGGGTTATTGCAATTCCAACCCAAACGATTGCTGTTTGTTCATTAGCTCATTGCCCTCCTCATGTAATCCATCACTTCCTCCGTGGTGTCATATGTTGCTCGTAGAATCTGTTATGTCTTTGTGTTTTTTAATTTATATTTTTGTTTCGGAAGTTCACTTTGAATGTTTATAACTGCCCACTGGGATAGGCTCTAGTCTTTTACGGATAATTTACTTGGGGTTTCTTTGAGGATCATGCCTTCTTTGGACTTCAGAAATCGCACTTCAGTTTCTGTTCCCATCATTTCATCATTGATTAGACATGGTTCCTACATGAAGTACATTTTTCTGTAAATTCTGTCACATTCTTGCTTTACCTATTTACTTTCCAGGTTTTAGGTTAGTTTCGTTTCTAAAGTTAAGCTGTCTTCTACATGTACCTGATTGAAAGTCATGCCATGTTTGTGGAGATGCAGGGGAAGGTGGCCATATTCCCCAGCTGGAAACTTAGTACTTGTCTTTGATCTGTGCGCAGCTTGCTCCATTGAAAAGCTGTGCAGCCAAAGGTTTCAAACACGTGGAGGTATGTTGTTCGACATATAGGAACTTGCAGCTTGTGCAGAATAACAATCGGATTATTCATATGTTATACCTGTCTTGTGGTATCAGATGTAGGATGAATGATCTTAAAATGCATTTTCTTATTACCATAGAATCAACTAATATACTTGATTGGAAGTTTACTCTGCCCTGCCATTTCCGTTTCATAGAAATGCACTCCTGATAAGCGTTCGTTTTCGTCAAGAAGGATCCTTGTATGTAGAAATGTATTTTCTGTGGGCCAATATCGTATTGGACATGTTTCACAAGTTGATGCAGTGACGATGTTTTGATGCAATGACGATGCAGTTGATGCAATGACCTCTGCCAAGTATAATTTCAGGTAACTGTAGCAGCCCGTACATGCATGAACATATTCTCTGTGTGGTTTTTGAAGAACTTAACAGGATCGAACTACTTTCGAGGATGTCACTCCTCTGGTACTTCTATGTATACAAGAAAATTTTGGAACTTGGTGAAACAGTATTACTCGAATAAGCCCAATGGCATTAATTTTGAGCAGTTGAAGGTTACGAATTGCTTCCCACAGAAGACATTTGACATGATGGTTGATTGTGTGGACGGTGGAGAGTACTTTCTTCCTATCAAGCATGTCATCGGTCCCGGTGTTGCATGTAGATGTGGCGGTTCCTGCTGCTGAGCTCCTCGCACTCTCACAATATGTTACCACTGAGCAGGAGTACTGAGGAAGGGCGTCTCTCATCTACATGAATAAGCAAGGGATTGCCGCAGATGATGTTGCAGACTCCCTGCGAATCTTACAGTTGGATAATCTACTGCTACAATTTTGCTTACTTTTGGTGAAGTGAGCCCAGATGTGTTCGATCAAGCACTGGACGTCAGCCGAGGATGCTGTTACTGAGATCAAAGGATGACGAACAACTCGATACTTCTTGCAATCTGTTGAACTGCTACAGTGAGACAACTTCACTTTTAAAAGCTTTACACATGCTGTAATGCTTGTTTACAGAACTGAGTATTAACCAGTTATGAATACATGCTATAAATACCTCCGATGGCACAGTTTGAAATCCATGGACTTCGACCGTAGAAATCGATAAGTTGTAGTTTCTTCTACACAAATTAAAAGGATTTGATTTTTGTGTGTGACTGGTTGTAGGCTAAAGCTTTTTGTCTGTGAATCAGAGACATCTTGAATTTCAGGAACCGCTTTTGCTGCAAACCTTGGAATCCTGTCCAAATTAATTTGTCTTCGAATTTATCTCACAAGCTGAAGGAAAGCAACGACGTAAGTTTTAAGTTTTGAACATTTTTATAACCACATTGGAATGATCTATGCTGCCTGATTCTTTTCGTTATGTGGTACATCCCACACCATGTGAGCCAAGTCAAGGCTGCATTCATGCATGTCTGAGTTCTAAAAATCCAAGCTGTACTGCTTCCCTCTGTTCTGAGTAAATCACGTGCACTTCCTAGTCACTGGAGGTGCAGTAAGTAGCTGCACCTCAGTGAAAAAAAAATCCCGACCTCTACAACCAGGTCTGCCAGATGACAGAAACTGCACAGTGTTAGGATTACCTTTGCATCTACTGAAAGCCTGCCAAAGACGAGTTTATCTACTTACAAGCATCGGTGCAGACCACCACGTGAAGCCTGCAAACACAGCAGCCGTCTTCAGGGTTTAACTCCAGTTCACAGTGCCGAAACTCAGTATTCTACTGCTGACAATCGTATAATATGCCCCGTAAACAGCTACACAGAGGACAGCAAATCACATCGTATCAACTGCCGACTCTGCAAGAAAGGGTACAAAACCTTCAGGCTGACCTGTAGCATTAGGTGAACAAAATCATAAACATCTGCAGCATTCTCGTGCAACGGTTGAAGAGGCATCATTGCCGGTACTAAAGAGTAACATACATATGTAATATAGAGCCAAAGAAGTGATCTTTTTCTGCAACAATGGCCACCCACTTCTCCTTCTTGCTTCAATCATCTGCAAAAAGGAAGACTAGACCAATCGTAGCAGTACAAAGGGGTTCCAGGCATATTTTGCAGCAGCAGCAGCAGCCTGTAATGGAATAAGACCCAAACCTGCTTTGCCTTCACTCTCAACACATCTGCCCTCTGGCTTAGTGTTTGTTCCACATGAAAAACAAAGAGGGCTATAGATACACCTGATGATGAGATGGTGTTCATTTCTTTTGTACTAATTTATTGCCAGCCGTGGACTTGCACATGCTGCATTCAGAGGCCTGGATCTGTGCTCCCCCATGAGATTCTACTGCCTCTTGTGCTTCACTCTCTTCATCTCAGGCAGGAATATGTACGTGTATGAGTATGTGTGTGTGTGAATGAGTATATATATATATATATATATACATATACACACACTAATAGATTCTTACGATTTGACTTCTTCTGTGGGAGCTTGTTGTATATAATTAGCCTGATTACTTGATAATTCATCCAAGTAGAATCAAATAATTGTTTGAATATAGTAATGATTCATATCTGATGAGATAGAAGTTAAGTTATTTTATTTCATTTTATTTTATTTTTGACTTACATAACAAAGATCTTGCAACCAAAGAAGGTGATAAAATCTTTCTTTACTATGAATTGTCTTGCTTTGGTAATTTGAATGCACCAAATGAAGGTTGACCATTATCCATTAAAAAAACACAAAAATATTCCATTAATTTTTTTGAAAATGGTCTTTATGAGCATATTTAAGTTATTTACAAGTCTTTGTTAAACATATGTAATGTTACATTTATATATATATATATATATATATATATATTTATGTGTGTGTGTGTGTTAATTGAAGTGTAGAATTTACACATTGTAATGAATTTACCATATATTCCTATATTTAATTCCACATCTTGAATATAAGCATCTTTGCAACATTTTTTCAAACATAAAAAGATGCCCAAAAATATAAAGTTAATAAAATACGATTTTGGACATGGATCATATATACATTCTAATTTAATGTGTACTAATAATAATTATTATTAGTATAATTATTCCATCTGATAATGTGTTTTTTATTAATACATAGAATCAAACCATATATATATATATATATATATATATATATAATTAAATTACACAAAGATAGTCAAGAAGTAATAATAATAAGAATTGTAATTATAGAGCCTAGGATAAAGTCATAAAATCAAAAAGGTATTCAAAGTCTTATAATTTTTAAGGAAGAAATATATATATATATATATATATATACATACATTTATTATGCTAATGATTTGTAATTTTAAAGAAAATGTAATTAAATTTTAATAAAAAGAAAAAAAATATAAATCAACTTTAATTTGTATTTGTAAACAAATGCATATGATAGTGTAAATTGAATATACTCGTGTAATCAATTACTGTACAAACATAAACAACTTTACTATAATTCTCATAAAAAAAGGATTTACATGATTTATACTCTTGTAATTCAGTTATTTTATTCAACTTCATAATATAAATTCAATACTGTTTAATATTTTAGAAAACATTTGCATACTTTACTTTATCAATATATTGTGTTTTACTCAAGAGGTTTGAATAGAATCTAATTTAAAACATGATGTACTCTTTGTCTTTCTTTGATTTCTCAAATCTTTACAATTCAAAATCATATGTTTTAAATTCAAAGCATAGAACCATTTGAGTTTGGAATAGAAAGAGTCTAGAAAATTTGTGATTTTTTTACAACACTGCAAAAATCAAAAGGTTTCTTAGTATTTGTGAAGATAACTTTCTACTCATCCTCTAGAATAAACCCTAATTGAAGCATGCCAAAATTTCCCAAGATTCTACAGTGACACTAGACAACAAAATCATAGTGTATCCCACCAAGAATAGAGCAAGAAAAACCCATTTTTAGATTGAAAACAACACCCTATATATCAATTACTATTATTAGGATTTGGGAGGTGGGCGGTGCCATGCCTGTTCATTAAGAGAATTATAACACAAAATGAATATTTTTATTGAACAATAGGACCTAGAAGACCAACTGTGGAATGTGGAATTGGTTAACTTTCGGTGGCACTGCTCATCAAAATTCATACAGAATGTCAATGCTGATACACAGGATTCTTCCCATCCGGGTATCACCCTGGAGGGGAGGGAGGTTAAGTGGTTGACGTGGATGACCCACGTGGAATCTACTTGTCCAATACCAATGATGGAAAAAAATAAAAATTCCATTTTAAAGAGGTGGGAACAGACTTGTCTGCTTTATTCCCCATTCTCCTTCAACAGCATGGATCCATATGCTTCCTTTTGTCATAAACAACTGAAAGTGATGAATAAACATAACGCCTGGTATATTATATATAAACATTTCTTCTTATATAATACTAAAACTCATAAATGAAGTGTGTGAAGCTATTTTCGAGAACAGCCAGCGTGGTGCGAAGAGCCAGACGGACGAAGAAAATGGACGGTCCGTCGACGAGACCTATGGTGGGTCCCGAAGTTTCGTCCCCTACACATCACCGTGCGATCCCAAATAGACGATAAGTAGTGGACGATCGTCTAACTGCCGCGGGTTTCGTCTGGGATTTTTCGTTCATGTCGTGAAAAGGTTCTTCGTGTTGGGATATTTTGGCGGTTAGGGTTCCGAAGCCATGTGGATGATCAGGCGCTTTGCTGTGGAATAAGCGGCCGTCGTACATCCAAAGTCACAGGAATGTATTCATCAATCCATGTTCGGTGAGGCCCCACAGTGTAACGTGTCACCCACTACCGGCAGTCCAAGGGAGAAATTCCACCGTCATTGACGATTTCCTGCATGTTTTTGACCATACTCGTGGTCGTGGAGGATCAGGTCGTGTTGTGCAACCACAAAAATCACTAATGCAAATTTGGCAACAGCTCACATTACACCACAGAACTGGACCTAAGACCTTTTTGTTTGTTTGTTAGCTGTTTTTAATTTTTTGAAAAAACAAAAACACTGCACTAAACTTTGTCGAAAGTGGGTTGTTAACAGTAGGAGTTACGTCGCAGAATACGGAACTATTGTGAGGGCCAAACTGGATCTATTTAAAAGATAGTTAATTTTTGGAGTTTACTTCAGGTGGAGGGGCGGTGAGTGCGTGTGTGGCACAGAGAAGGGTACAATGCTAAGTTTTATAGAATTTTCCCCACCAGGATACTCCAGGTTCATTTTCAATCCACCTAGGTCTACCATTATACATGGCTTTGCAGCTCAAGGACAAGCCTGTGTTAACGAACAATAAAAAATAAAAAAATGCTTCCCTCGTGGCACAAAGTTTATGACTCTTTTGTCTCTTATAGTGGCAGAATTGAAAAAGAGAAAATAGAACTCATAGATGTGAATAGTTTTATTGTTTTTTATTCCTTTCCTTTAGGTATCCTATGTCAACTGCAATAGGGGTCCTTTGGAATTGGGTCATGTATCAAACAGAACCCAATTGGGATATCACAAGGACTTGCCCCCTCTCCTGGAAGGAAGATGGGAACGTGCTGCCTAACCTGGAGATTTCACTTGCACACAGCAGCTCCTTTCTGTAGCCACATCCTTTGTACTGAGGAGAAATATAAATAAAAAACAACTGAAACCGTAATTCATCTAAATGTGAACGAACAGAGGGTGAGGAAGGGACGTCGCAGCGTTGTTGATTAGAGTGCTGCGTTGTGGTTATTGTTGGTGTTAGTGTTGCAGAGCAGGCTTTCTCATTTGAGAGAGAGAGAGAGAGAGAGCGACTGAGGATGGGTGGGATATCTGCCATAGCTTCACTGCCCTGATACGCGGGGACTCACCCCCATTGAATGCGATTCTGCTCACCGAACGTCCACGAGGAGACCTGTTTGTTTGCTTGCTTGCTTGCAAGCCGCTTCGACATCCGCTACGGAAGGTCGTTGCGCACTTCAAAGCGATCGGGATGTGCAATCTGCAATTATGTGACGCCACCCGACGCATTGTCCAAAAATAGTACTGAAAAAATGCAACTACCACTCCATCGGGCCTGGTTTCCCGTAACCCAGCCCGTTTAATTCTCACAAGGAATTTTCCTGCCTGCTGGATGGAGGAAAGTCGTAAAAGTCCTACAATACCAATGAATGGAGGAAAAAGAAAGAATAAAATAAAAAGAAGAAGGAGAAGAAGAAGAAGAGGGTATGGTGTTGGCACTGATAAAGCCAGGAGGAGTCATGTTCCCCTTGCCGTTTTGGGACCCTGGATACTGGAAAAAACAAAAAAACAAAAAACAAGATTATGCTTGACAAAAGAAAAATGGTCGTCTGAGGCATGAAAAGATGTGGAAGGTTGGAACTAAGCTGGCATTTTCGAGGCTGGTGTAGTTTTATTTTTTTGGGTGTACTCCTGAGGTAAAGGGTGGTGCAGGGTTATCGGTGATGGGCACCTTCGGGGGGCGGTTTCGATCGAGCATGGGGAAGCGTGGGGAGTAAATCTGTGGTTGAGGAGAGTTTCGTGAAAGTTGGGTGTGTAGCTTACCAGGAGGAGAGCTAAACGCGACCATCCATGTTGCGGAGGAGTTGCTGCATCGTCGTCAACTGCGCAGGTTCGTTTCTGAGCATTAGATCCATGGAAAGCATGAGCAGCAGCAGCAGCAACAACAGCTGCTGAAGCCGGGATCGGCAGCGACGTTGTGATGGCTGCGCCACCTTCGTCTTTTGTTCTTCGTTAATCCTTGACTGGGTTAGGCCGAGTGCAGTAGGTTTAGAAAGCCTAGGTTGTGGTCGGGTTTGGTGGGGGCTGACCACCATTGATCCTTGCGTGGAAATCTTGTTTAGCTTGATTGCTGCGACGTGGTGGCAACAAGCTGGCGACTGATGAGTATTCTACATTGGCGAGTTTAGTGTTCGGCCGGTATATGTGGGGTCTAATTTTCGTTCGAGAGAGAGCGGAGTTCGTAGTCGAGCCAGTGTTGCAAGTTGGCTTAGATTCCAGTGGCTGCTTTTATCGTGTACACGCTACTTTCTTAGTTCGATTTAGGAGCCACATCGGAACACCGTGCAACGGACGTCTGTTTGCGACAAAGACTTCTCAAAGCGAGCTCGAAATCGTTTCCAATAGATTTCCAGGACTCATAGCTAGTTCTCGCTTTACGCCTCACTGAGAATAAATGGTTTTGTCGCGAAGCTAAAACTGCAAGATCTTCGACTGTGCACCTATCAATGTGATTGTACAAGGTGCTTCGACAGCACATTGGTTGCCATTTAGGAATTTTCACGAGAAGTCGTTTCGTGGTTGACCTCGTCTTTGCAGAAGCTTTCGCAGATAATCCCTTATCTGTAAGTAGCGATGATATCTTCTTTGTGGTTTTCAGAAACGTGTTGAACCGTCGACTCATTAAGAAGTGGTCCTGTTGGTATTTCGAGAATATCCCCGAATTCCTGTCGGCTTTTTCATTGATGGTTCTCCTGTCATAATACGGGTGGTTAAGTTGTTGACTCTCTATCCAATTCTAATCAATCACTCTTCTCTATGGCGAAGGAAACTAGAGCTTGTTGGTCGGTCGATCAGATTCTCTTTCCTAGAATGTTGCGACGTAGTGCCAAGGTGGTAGCGTTTCGGGGGTCACACTTGCTTTGCGTGATGCAAGAATTGGGTTTCGCCATCTCGACTGAGAGGGCTGTGCTGGAGTGCTCTACCAGAATAGATCAACAACTTAGTCCGCTACTAAAACCTTTTGACTTCGTCCATGGAGGGAATTTTTCCGCGATTAGGCGGGCGGAATGGTCGCCCTCCCATGCGTTTGAAATTCAGTTCAGCTGTTTGTGAAGTTTGTTTTCTAGTCCAAAATTATGGTGAATCTACAAGAGGCTGTGAGGCTGTGCGCAAGTTCCTATTTTGGGGTAGGATGGGTGAGCTTGTTTCAGCGCTCTTGCGAAGACAGTTTTGTAGAGTGCCATCTAGTGACTCCGCCACTAGTTTTAGTGACTTCACCCACATTTTTTAATTTCTTTGAGGTATGCGAGAACTCCCCTGCGAGGTATGAGCCAAAGGGCTGGCAAGGCTCATGTGATTGAGAGTTCAGCTTCTGATGAGAAATCACGGAGAGCTGTGAAGTCACAGATTCACGGAGAGTCTAGTCGTGTGCATTTGACAAACATTATTCATGTCAATCGCCACTTTCACTTACTCTTGCAGAGCCTCCAGATCGGTCTGATGTTGGATGCCGGGCGGGCGTCGTCACTCCAGCTCCCTCTTATGCGGGAGGTGACGGCCCTGCGGAAGAATCGAACCTTGAAGGACCCGGGGACAAGTCCCTCTGTCTCCCCTGGAGGTAGCTTTTCAGGAGGCAACAAGCGAGTGACATCAAACGCCTTCATTGGCGATCCTCACAAAGATGCTCAAGCGCTCGCTTATGAGCTCTCGGCCAAACTCGCCAAGTCTGCTAAAGAACTCCACGGCGTTGGTGGGAGCCGCCGAATACCGAAGCAACAAAACTGTCGAGCGGATAGAAACATCAAAAGTGACAAGGTTCCTACAAGAGGGACGTCGAAGAAAATGACAGCCGAAGATGCCATGTACGTGCGCAATGACGAAACACTTGGCATCGACGAGCCGTTGAAGGCAGCTATCGGAAGGAGGGTCAAACCAGTTGAGCAGGCTTTTGATGGATCCATGACTGGGGCTCTCTCCGGGGAGTTGCGAAAGGAGGGTCTCATCAAGGAATTGAAAGCGCGGGGGCGCTTGCCGAGAGACGCTGAGAAAGAGCTTGAGGAGATTCCAAGGTCGGATGAGAGATGGGATGTCGGGCCTGCTCGACGAGAACATCTTGCGAGGAGAGTAATCGAAGAGCGTCGTCCCTCAATCTCCTCACTATCACAGCTACTGGGAAACCATAACGGGAGTGGACGGAGTGATAACTTCCTGGGCATGCTGGAGGACGAAGAGCGTCGGAGCAATCTCGTTGGCGAGAGCTTATTTGAGACGGATGAGGATGAGCTCAGCCCCATGGAGAGGGAGATGATGCGACCAAAGCCGGCAACCTTGAATCCTGCATCTCCGTTGCATTTGGGCTCATTGTCGCGTGGAAAGCAGGATCTCAAGAAGTCGAAGCCTGAACTTCGTCATGGCTGGAGGAATATCCCGTCAGGAGAGAGGAGTGCATACTCAGCCCACCCCAGCATCCGTAAAGCTGCAACCAACTCCATGGATTTCATGGACGATGATCTGGATGTCTCGGAACTTCCACTTGAAAACGGATGCGGACTTTCGTGGGATTGGTCTCGGAATCACAAGTATAGTGATGAGGCTTTCTACGACTTGACTGGGTTGACTTGCGCAGTTTCGGAGTCCAGGAGACGTCCCGAGATTGATTCTTTACTCGCAGAGCAAAGTACCCCGGCTAAGAAGTCAGTTTCCTCGTTGAATTCTGAAGCGAACTCATTACCGATATTAAGCGGGGACGGGACACGCAAGCACGATCTTGCGGGGTATAACGTAGACACGGGAAGAACTCGAGAGATTTCAGGGGAGCTTGGGGGACTCGAGGGTTGTAGGTCGACATTTCAAGGCGCCATCGAAGATATTCCAGGTGTGGGAACAGCCTCCACAAGCAGATTAAAAGAGCAGGTGCCACCCGAGGAACATCGAACGTTGAGTCAAAAATACAGGCCAAAGAACTTCACGGAGATTGTGGGTCAACCTGTGGTGGTGAAGAGCTTGTCGATTGCGATTATAAAGGATAAAATCGCTCCAGTGTATCTGCTTATGGGTCCGCGCGGAACTGGGAAGACCTCTGCTGCGAGAATGTTCGCAGCAGGGTTGAATTGCGAGTCGTTGAATTCTGCCAATCGCCCGTGTGGAATTTGTCGGCAGTGTAGTCTCAATCAGAGCGCAGATTTGCGGCAGATTGAGGCTGTCTCAAGTATGGACATGGTGAGCATGAAAGCCATGATGGGGAGCTTCATACCTCATGCTCGCTACAAGGTGATTGTTGTCGAGGGGTGCGATCTTCTCGGCATCGATATGTGGAATGCGTTTCTAACATTGTTGGAAGAGCCCCCAAGGAACGTGGTATTCATCCTTATTACCACCGATGCGGAGCGGCTGCCCCCGACTGCGACTTCGCGGTGCCAAAAGTTCCATTTCTCCAAAGTAAGCGAACCAGACATTGTGAGACGGCTGAAATTATTGGCGGAGAAAGAGGGCTTGCATTTCGAAGCGGAAGCGTTGTCGCTCATTGCGTCGAAATCAGATGGATCCCTCCGTGATGCTGAAATTTTTCTTGACCAAGTATGCCTTCTGGACAGGACCGTGACGGTGGCCCTAGTTCGAGAGGTCGGTGGACTTCTTCCAGACAACCAGAATCTAGATTTATTGGACTACGCGCTCTCCGCCGACACTGTGAATATCATTAAGACCATGCGAAAAGTGCTAGCCTCCGGCGTTGAGCCTCTCGGACTCGTGTCCCTACTGGGGGCCTTAATCACAGACATTCTCGCTGGTAGCCTCGATGTGAACCGGGGCAGGCGAAGAGATGGATCATTTTTCAATCGAAATATCTGTAAGTGAGTTAATGGTTGGTCTGCCAGTTCACCGTCTTATACAAACTCATTATTAATTTATTTGTTCCCCTTTAATTTTATATACTGCTTGTATTTTAAAATAAAATTTAAGCTACGAATTATACGAAAAAATAATTTAGATTTTGGTTTCTCTTCCAGCTGCGAAGGAGGAGCAACAACGGCTCCGGGAAGCGCTAAAGGTTCTCGCAGAAGCTGAGAAGCAGTTGCGAGCGGCAACCGATAAGGCGACCTGGCTGACAGCCGCGCTTTTGCAATTTGCTCCCGATCGGTCGTTTGTTCCTTCCGAAGCAAACAACAGTGTTGCCCAAAGCCCTACTGTGGCGCCTATAAACGCCATTTATAGGGCGGAGCAACCAGTGATGAACAAACCAGAGCATCAGAACCAAGTTCCAGTGTCTGCAGTGGTTGGTCAATCTCTTGAAGCAAACGTTGAAAAAGAAAAAAGACCTCCCGAAGTTCCTGAGGACCATGAAATACCGGTCTCGGAGCAGACATTTGAGGAAGATTGGGGTCGGAAGCCAGCTGAACAACAGGGATTCGAGGAACTGCAGCTTGCAGAGACTTCAAAACCACTAAGACATGAACCAGAGACGACGTTAGATTTTCAGGTATTTGGAGAAGAAATTTTGGCTAGGCTTTGGAACCGAGTGCTGTCGGAGATAACGTCGAGGAGTTTGAGGCAGCTTCTGCATACAGACGCGCGACTTGTTGCAGCAGGCGCAGCTATTGGTAATTTTTCTGAAAAAAAACCATGCTTCTGATACTTGTTATCCCGATCCTGCAAGGGATTCCCTGAGAATATGGTTTAGGGTGTAATGGTTCAATATTACGCTTGTGCTGTGAATATCCAGATGGCTCGCGTGCTATAGTCGCATTGGAGTTCGATCACCCGCGCGATAAACACAAAGCAGAGCGGTCATGGCGGAGCATCTGCATTGCATTTCAAGCCGTGCTGAACACCGCGGTTGAGCTTCGAATCGGTTTGTGCGAAGTTGCACCTGGCGATGGTTCGCTGGCACGCGCTGGTGAAACAATGGTTGGCACAAAGCCGGGCACATCCACTCAACACAAAAACTCCGAAATTGTGACCGAGGATTCCAGCAGTGAATCGTACAGTCAATCGGGCCCATCAACTCAAGGTCAATACAGAAACAAGTGGGTTACGGATGAGGACCCCATTTCTTACGATGCCCATCTTCAAGACATGCAGGAAGCGCGTTCACGTAGCCATCGGAGACGAACCACGAGACCTCGTAGGCATCGTCAAGCAAGAGACGTAGCAGACACTCAACTGCAAATACAGCAGAATTCAGACCCCAGCGCCATCACTCCTCGCCGGCCGCCACCAAGTCGGAGGCGAAGGGTGAAACGAACCGGTTCTGCAAGAGCAAGCTCTGGAGCAACCCAAACGGTCATTCCAGTGCGAGAGACGAAGGTAGGCTCACGGGATTCTGGCAGTTTCGGTGACGTCGGTGGCGATATTTTGGCATATAGAGGCAAAAAACAGTTGAGTACTATGGTGGAGGAGCCTCTAAGCGAGATTGAAGACCTTCAGTCGGCCCAGCGAAAGATCTCGCAGCAGCGAGCCGACAGCTCCTTGTCAGCAAATTTTGACCGCCGCACTAACATGTAAGCACATGCTCATTCAAACGATTGCAACAGATGCAGAGAATGTACGAGTTACGAATGCCATTAGTTAGCGTATACACTCTAAAAATGCACTGAAATATTGCTTGAATTCAGAGTCTATGCGGAGCGTGGATCGCAGAGAGGGAGCCCTCTTTGCTGTAGAAGGGCATCACCCCAGCCCGAGTTTTTGATGGTAAGATCCTTATCTATAGGGTGTCAATCCCGCCACCATTTACTTTCGAGTTCGTTTTCGCATCTCAGACCATCCTTGTCTGCTTTCTAGTTATGTTCCACTCTGACACCATCAACTTGATTGAGCTTGAACAGCGCAAGTCCAGGGTGAAGACCATGAAAAAGGGGCGAGGGAAGGCGCTGCTCCTCAAACTGATACCCTGCGCCGAATCCAGAGTCGCAAAGAACACTGCACCGGTTTCCAAGGCACCGTAAGGGGCCTTTCACTCTGCCGAGTCGAAACTCAAAGTGACCAAGTCGCAACAGCCAATCTCCACCACCCGGGCTCTACAGGAATCGTCGGTGCATCGAACATGCGTACCATCCTGTTATTTTGATCTTGATCAATTATACCACTGGGATGTCGCGAACGGCCTTGGTTCATGTCTAGCACACGGCTGTGGCCATTAGGACGGAACACAGCTCCGTCGAAACATGGAAAATCTAACCTGGCAATCACATCCTGCACGCTTGCCCACCGCGAGGACAGTTCGCCAGCCCCTCGCACTGGTGCGCACCAAGTTCGGCGTCAGAATTGGTGACGGCACCACTTGTACAATATGACAAACGATAGGGATACAGAACACCCACAATCTCGAGCAAACAATGAAGATCTCACGACGAGAGCTTCCCCCGAGTCAGAGCAGCCAAGAGAAAAAGCCATGGCTGCTTCTGATCTGGCGAGGGTAGCGCCGAAGCAAGGGTGGAAACGACAATTCTTTTGGGGCCAAGGGTCTCCGGGAAGGAGCAGCTTGCCGGTGCCTGCTATGGATCTACACACGAGCCCTGCGTATCTTGTGTAGAAGTGCACCAACTCAATAATTTTGGGTCCTTAATGTAGTACGTTCGAATTTCAATATCAATTGTTGAACACCTCCTCCATGGAGGTTGTGTCCATAATGGCATGCTGTTGAAGCTTGAATAATTATTATAGACGGTTTGCCTCATGAAATCTTTCTCATCCTAACCTTTTCGCAGTTGTCCTTATTAATGTCATTCATTTAATATGCTTGGAAAAATTCTCCAATTTTGTCGCAACTGCATTCAACTTGGCCACACTCAATCAAGTGACTATCTTGTTTGAATAAAATTCGCCGGTCTAACTATCTGAAGTACTTTCCGTTACGCGTACACAAGCCTGCAGAGACCGTTGCAACTCTGTTGCCGAAACCGCTGAGCTCATGTGCAGGCATGGTTGTTGCTGAGCCCACTCCCTACCAATCAACCTTGCATTAACTTTTGCTTCCTACCCCGTCAACTCTCGGGTTGAACAATGCAATGGCTCCCCAGTACCTTGATGAACACCTTCGCCCTGACGTTCACACGTCTTTGTGTGCCAGGAAACGAACAGGCTTGTCTTTCGGCAGCACCAGCACGTTTCCCACGAGACGGCCTGTCCAGTTCTCCCGGTCGGCGATGACCTCGATTCTGCACGAGCATGTGCAAATAGTTCTCGGCCGACCTCTGTGCGCTATTTCTCACGATACGTCAGGACGCCGTCACGCTGACAGGCGCCCAAAATACTTGCACTCGGCTTCCTGCATCTCACTCCGTATATGGTCGATGCTTGTGCCAGGGGATCCTGCCAAGGAGGCTTCCGCAGGAAACCAACACATGCTTGTCGTCGAGTGGCACACACGAACTCCTGAACTCAGTGCCATTGCCAGCACCCCTCTCAAAAAGCACCAGTCCGCCGCATCAAGCTCAGAATACTGTATATTCATCCCACCGAGTTCGTCGCCATCCACCGACATGTATCTCCCGCACCCAGCCACCTACGCGAACTAAAACCATCGGTCACCTGCAACTAAGCTAGCCACCTCACACACCGAGTGTGAGCAGGGGGTCATGGACGATATTACTGGCGCCTCCAGCAGGAGGTACGCAGTCCCCGCTCCCACCTGAATCCACGATTTCCGACACAACCACCATTCAAATCTCAACCTTCGAGGCTTGATTCGACAAAGAAGGCCCGTCAAAATCCATGACCGTCCCTGGAAGAACACGCCTGCATCCAAAGTAGCTCTGCGCACACCACTTCAGCAAATAACACCACCTCAACTTGCGAGAGCTGACTGACATCCTGACCGCCACTAATCTGTACAGTAAGTTACTGCGCCTCCAGTAGAAAGACGGATATCAATGTGAGGGAAACCACCGCTCTTTCCCTCCGGACAACAACCTGCCTGCGCTTAAAAAAGTGGTCCTGTGCGCAACCGGTACTCCCCAATGCTCCCACATTGCAAGCCTGCAGTAGCAAAGGAAGCCTCGAGAGTCCGGCAGCAGGCTGCCGCTGTTCAAGTGCCGGTCCGCAGTGGACTCGTATCTGCATGCCGAGCATCCCAACAATCCAGGGTGAATCTCGTGCGAGCTGCAACTAGAAAATGTGCAAACTGCCACCTCGTCCGGCGGACCCACTTGCATCCTGTGGCGCTCTGGGAGTCATCGACGTATACGAGGGTGAATGGTTCCAACGCCAACGACACTAGGCAAGGCCCTGCACAGAAAACCGTTCCGATCCATTCCCACCCCGGGAACAATTCTGGGGCACCACCACCACTCCCGGCTTGGCCCACATCGGACGAGGAATCGGTTCTGCAGTGCAAGCCACGATCGCAACGCGAACCCCTGAACCCACCGGCAGATGGTATCAGACTACGATTCCAACAATTTCGTCTCATCTGTGGCATTGTCAGGACACTTGACGGGAACTGAAAGATCGGTGTGCCCCACTCGACACACCGATCCACATCGTGCGTGCCGATGCCGAGCGAGAATGTCTGCCGGGACGCCTCCAACCGGACAATGTCGCGGAACGGCGAGGCTCCGGACCATGGGATGAGCGAGGAGGAGCGAAAGAAGATTGCGGGTTTGGCCTCACGCCGGAGCTGGAACCCGCGGAGGAGTCTCAGTGGGCTGCGCGGGGGGCCTTGAGATTCCAAGCTCTCGCGTGTGCCGCCATAGCTTATTTTGGTGCTGGGTTCGGCGTATTATAATGGGATGCGGTAGTGGAACTGGGATACATCTGAAGCGGGAGAATCTTTTATGATACTTTTTTCCGGCTTGGCTTTACTCCACGTCAAAAAGTAAAAGCTACAGAACAGTGTGTGGATGGCGTGGCGTGGGCCGGCCGCTGCCGCAAGCCCTAGAGAGAGGGCGGAGGCGGGCGAGCGTCGCAGAGTCTCACTTTCGTGGCCTCGGACTCCCGGACTCACCGCAGCCCAGCAGCAGCGCTCGTCGGCCGTCTCGGATTCGTGGTCGGATCGGAAAGTTTCTGCTGCGCCCCCTCGGCCTCGCGCTGCCGCCGGTACCTGCCGCGCGCTTCCCCGTTTGCGGTTTTCGAATTGGTGACCAACTGAGCTCGGGAGGCGGATTGTGCTCTTCGGGGCGGGCCGCCCCGTAGGGTTTGCGGTCAGTGTGGTCGGGCTCGGTGTGATGATGATGGAGTACCTGGCCGAAGTGAGCTCGTGTTGCTTGCTGAATTGCTGATTGAACTGCTGCTGCTGCTGTGATGGACGATGTCGTGTGCAGTGTTGGCTTGTGTGTTGAGGGGTAGTAGTGGCGAGGACGTTGATTGTTGTGCGGAGGTGTAAAGAGGATTGTTCCTTTTCTGCTTTTTTTGGCTTGGGGTTAGGGGGAGAGGATGGATGGCACGTCAGGCCTGCAGAACCTGGGGTCGGAGAGGGAGACGTGGATTGACGAGGAGGTGGAGGCGCTGCTAGACGTTTGGGGCGATACGTACATTCACGTGAAGCGGGAGAATTTGGGGAAGCGGCATTGGGAGACGGTGGTGCGCGAGGTGAACGCGCGGCTGACGCACCAGCGGGAGCAGCCGCAGATGAAGAACAAGATTGACTCGCTGAAGAAGCGGTATAAGCGAGAGAAGCTGAGCAAGGGCGAGAGCGACCGGAGTTTGATCACGTGGAAGTGGTACGATCGGTGCGACATGCTGTGGGGGACGCCGAAGCGGGAGATGTGCGGCATTGGCATTGGCCCAGTGGGCGGGGTACACCCGCTCCAGCATCGCGTGGAGGCCGCCCATGCCCATCCGGCGGACGTGATGCACCACCAGGACAGCGGCCGGTTGGTTCCGTTTGTGGCCGCGATGCAGCCCGAGGTTAATGGCGATCACCAGGGCGTGAACGTGAAGGACGGTGCGGCGTCGAGGATCGGCGATTGTCACGAGGAGCATTGTCCTCCGCGTGCCGATCAGGCTCCGCCGTCTCCGTGCACCCGTTGCCGCGGCAATGCGGGTGTGGAGCCCAGCAGAGAGAACGTGAAGCGCAGGAAGCTGGGGACTGGCATCACGGCTGCGAACCTGGCGAAGATCGTTCAGGGCTTCGCAGACACGTGCGCTCGCGTGGAACAGGCGAAGATGGAGATGAACGTGGCCATGGAACAGCGGCGGCTGGAGTTTCTGGAGAGGATGGAGCAGAGACGGCAGGAGAGCGAGGATAGGCACAGGGAGAGGAAGCTGAAGATGGAGGAGCGGCGGCTGGAGCTGCAACAGAAGCTGGCGGATCAGAAGCTGGAGATGCAGGAGAAGCACATGGAGAGACGGGAGAATCTGAAGCTGGAAATCATGCGCCTGCGGCTGCAGGCGATAGGGCAGGGGAACAAGGCGCCCGTGATGGAGCAGCAGGCGGTACAGACGTGCGAGAAGTTTAGCAGCTCGAACATCACGACGTGCATTTGAGTGTCCGGCTGCACGCATGCGTGTAGAAATCTTTCAACTCCTCGGTCTCGTGGTACGCTTGTCGATATATAGTGCTATTTGTGTACAGGAAGGCAGTGCGACGCTTGCAGATAAGCTCGGGTCAGGAAGTCGCACCGGCCCACCGCAGTGTCCCGTTCCCTTGGACGTGTGTTCCAGCGCCATCGGGGGGGGGGGGTGGGAGCGAAGACGAGGAGAGGAGCTGTTTGCAGGGTGAAGTTCCTGCACAGGAGCTTGCACATATTTGGTGTCGCTTGCCCACGTCGGGGAAGAAGGTGGCGTCGACACTGTGAAAAGGTGAGGAGTTTGACATTCGCCCGCTCGTGAATGTGAACCAGGTTTTTTTTATCGATGGGATAGAGCGTCCTCACGATGCCGGGTGGCTGGGAATCATCGTTGGACGGGCATGGAAATGGCTACGCTCGATTTATGTTTGGTTGGGCTCGCGTCCATGGGCGATTTGTTTTCGATGGATGGCGAGCATGTTAGGAGCACCGCTATGCTGCGTGGACGCATTGCATGTCGGAGGTTCGCAGCAATGGGATATTGACTATTGACGCGAGTTGGGGGCTTGTGGTGTTTGCAGCAAGTTTTTTGAGGGGACGTGACGGAGGGCGGTGCGTCGGGGTTGTACTGCTGGCCGAGAAGATCCTGGTTTGTACGATCTGTTGCGGAGCTCGTGTCGTGTGGGATATTGTATATTTGGTCCGTAGTGTAGGATTAAGCAAGTGCCCTGGCGAGGAAGGACGAGGTTCTTCAGAGTGGAGACAGGACATGGCAATTCCTGAGAGGAGGGGTGTTATGCGAATTGAGAGTGTGTGTGACGGTGCTTCGAATCACATAATTGTATCCATCTTCTATGTTGCACATGGTTCAGAGTGGACAGTTTTGGTTGTATGGTGCGGCGTATTTGCATTGCATGCAAAATCCTCGACGACATAGCGCAAGGTAATAGGCCTAATGAGATTGTGAGTGAGGAGTTCACTGGAGGGTTTAACTGACGAGTAGGCGCAAACGTGAAGGTTGAGAGGGTTACACGGTAGTTGGGAAGGTTGAAAGCTTTCTCTGGAGGTAGATGGAGTGAGGTTCAATTATCACCCACCCTGCATAGTTTGGGGCACCGTCTTTTGGATGGACAATCTGTCGCAGAATGGGAAGTGTTCTGCGAGTTTATAGAGTGTTCGTGCGTCGTAGAGCTGGGAAGCGTAGAAATGTTTCCATGTTTGATGTTGCACAAACTTTGACAGAAGTGAGGGGAGAGGTCAAATGAATTCAAAAGTTCATCAGGCTGTCACTTGTCGTATGGAGAAATTGCAGTCGCCCGCTGCTATAAACGTGTTCTTTCAAGTCATTACGAGGGCTAATAAATGAGAATTAACAGCTGCTCGTGCATATTACCCACGCATATGTATTAGACGATTTATTGTGCTCCCCACTATTCTCCGCTCGCTGTATAGAATACTTTTTGGACATTTCCGATGAGGCATTTTCCATAGTATTCACTGTGCGCGGTTTGTCAAACATTTTATTGGTGCCCTTGTCAACAGCTTTCGCTGTTGAACAATTTCATTACTCAGATTTATTTATAAGATTTTTCCGAATGTTCATTGCGTAACAGATTTCTTCACCATTTGTTTTGTAATTTAAACTGACCACTCCGAACTCGTCCACTGCGCTGCTCTCCCTTACATGGGTCCAAGGAAGTGGATGAGCAGATAAGGTCATGAATATCCCCGCGGAAAGCCCCCAGTTCAATGACGTATAGCCGGATGAGTTCCCAGACGGGCGCATAGAAAAGTGTACCAGTCGTGCAGACCCCTTCGTGACAGAAAAACTACATCGCACATTCAGTGCACACGACCAACACTAAGACGCGTCGACCCAGAAGTTGTACAAATCTCGCACCATGGATTGAACCTGTTGCCATCAAACAGACAGTGGCTCACCACCTAAAAATGATGCATAAGCTCTTCCTGCAACTGACGAGAGATCAGCTCATTGGGATATCAATGACCTCTGCTTTTTGTACAGGACGCAGACCCCCATAAACCCTCTACTCCATGAGGCCATCATACGTATCAGCATCGTCACCACCCGAAAGTGTCTACGATCCGAAAGATGGTATTTTGAATGGTTGTAATCATCGACCTCTTCGCTACGCACGCTTAACCCGCTCAAACAGATGATGTCTCTCTGTAGGTCGCATGGTCTGTCCCAAAGGGTAATCGCAGCGACGCCACTCCCCAGGGCAATGGAATATGCCACCCCGCGTCCACCGATAAACCCACCGCACACGAATGCACAGCGGGCCTCTCCGTGAACAAGTCTGTCTTTGACGTTAGCAAAGGACTCTACGGCCACAACGGCATCAAGTGGATGCCAATGCCGCTCCACGCTGCTAATGTAGCACCCCGCCAAGGGTGCTACACCCGTCATCTCTACCACTCCCGAAAGTACCCACTAACGTACGAAACTCTCCACAGAAAGGCTGTCAGTTGGTAGTGCATGTTTGTTCCACACAAAGGTTCAGAACAGGTCTATGTATTCTATCTTCATCCAGCCTCCCTTCCACCCATCCCCTTAACACACCGAGCCTCAGTCGAAAGATGGTGCTAGCTTGAGCATCACAGAAATCAGAAGCTTTGGGTATCATCTTCATCAACGGCTTCGCCCCCACACCTCACTGCGATTACAATTACACCCAGACAGACAGCAACCGTCTACTCTTCAAACGCCGTAGCACCCACCAGGAAGCCTCAGTTTACATTGAAGCGTCACAGAAATGCAGGAGGCATACTGAGGAGGTTCTCCTTGTCAAACAAGGTCCCAGCACCACCCACAACTAACGCCCGTAGAGGTAACCATCCTTGGCTGAGCAACTAAACCCTAAGCCCCCCATCACAACCAAACTCGACTCGCTAACACCTCCTCGATCCCGGTTCATCACACGCAGACACATCGTCGCAAACCTAAGCACCCCATATCGGAGGGAGAGAGGCTCTCCGCCAATGCGCAGAAGCCCATCGATCCACCCACGGACACCCTGGTCTGTGACATCCATCAGCCAGGCAGTCTATATACCCAACAGTTGTGCGACGGACTGCAGCAACGTGGGCAATAAGTATGATGTGAATGCGCACCAGCAGCCAGCAGAGCCAAACCCTAAAACATGCGCCCACATCTACAAAGGGCATAAAGCTGACATCACCTTCTCGCCCAAACCCTAATCCAACGATCACCTGAACCAGAGTCCAAGGATGCGTCGATGGAGACCGAGGGGCATTTCGAGCCTTGTCGACGACACAAAGAGTGGGGGGAAGGCTTCAGATTCATTCCACGATTCAACATAATGGCAGCAAATGAAAACCCTGCATTTCTTCAGGTATGTACTCCTTAATCTTTTTATTACCGTGCTCATGTTTGTACCTGCATGGTTCTTTTTAGGCTTGATTTTTTTGAACAATTTGGTAGTATAAGTTGGTTTCAAAGTAATTGGAATGCTCTGAATTAATCAAGTTTGTTGATTTACTTTTGTTTTCAAATGTCATGTGACTTTGGTCTAATGACTGTTTAAGACCACTTCTTTGCATTCAAATCTCATTTTTTAAAAGATTTACATTATATGTAGAACAATTGTGGGCCATGAGTTTCACATAGACACCATGAAACAAGGTTTATTTTTTTTACACAATTTGTAAGGAAAATTGGGCAATTTTTTTGTTAACATATAAAAGGCTTCTAGCATTATTAATATTCAATAAATTAATTTTTAAATTTTGACTTACTACTTTTAAATAAGTTTTGTTCAATAAAATTCTCAATATTACTCTGAATCATTTAACTCGGAAGCTTATCATGGGACGGGCCTGGG